TGATTGGCTGCCTCCTGCAAGCCCTACAGTGGGGATCGAGCCTGCAACTTGGGTATGTGCCCTGACCAGGAATCGAACCGTGACCTCTTGGTTGATAGGTCGAGGCTCAACCACTGAGCCATGCATGCCCCCCGGGGACCCTTGCCATCTTTTTTTTTATATATATGTATATTTTATTGATTTTTTTACAGCGGGAAGGGAGAGGGATAGAGAGTTAGAAACATCGATGAGAGAGAAACATCAATCAGCTGCCTCCTGCACTTCCCCTACTGGGGATGTGCCCGCAACCAAGGTACATGCCCTTGATCGGAATCGAACCTGGGACCCTTGAGTCCACAGGCCGACGCTCTATCCACTGAGCGAAACCGGTTAGGGCACCTTGCCATCTTTTTAATTGCCTGTTTTGAGTTATAGCTAAGCCAGTGGGGTGAAGTATGTCATTGTGAGTTTGATTTGCATTTCCCGAGTGACTAGAGATATTGAATGTGTTACACATCCTTATTGAGCATTTGTGTACCTTCTTTGAAGAAGTGTCTACTCAAATCTTTTGACCATTTTTCTCACCTGGCTCAGGCTGCCTCCTCCCCTGTCCTGCAACTAAGGGAGCGTCTGAACCGGCTTAGGATGTGCCTGGCTTCCATTCCAGGAGGGACACTACAGGGTGCGCGGCTCCAGCTCAGGCTCCTAGGGCACCTGGCCTGGCCTTTAGGTCACCGCCGCCCCGCCCCCAGAGGCTGAGAGGCAGCAGGGCCCCCCACCCACACTGTCCCCGCGGGCCCCGCCCCCAGGCCGCTCGGAGACCCTAGACTCCCTCAGGGGGTTGCTCATTACCCCTCCTCACGCGACCTAAGCGGGCCACTCCTTCTCCTCAGCCTCCTGAGGGGTCACTCAACTCCCTCCCTCCGTCCCCCTGAAGGCGCGGGTCGCTCGTCCTCCGCGGTTCTCTCGAGAGGGTCTCTGTCCCCCCGACTCCCCAGCCTCCAGAGGCGTCTTCCGTATCCGAGGGGGAGGTCCCACCTACCGCCTGGCGGGTTCCCTACGGGCTCGCACCGCCTCCTTCCGAGCCCTCCTCCGCGTGACGTCGCCGCGGAACGAGGCTCCGGGCGAGACTCCCGGCGAGACTCCAGGCGGGAGGGGGCGGGGCTCCAGGCGGGAGAGGGCGTGGCTCCTGGCGGGAGGGGGCGTGGCTCCTGGCGGGGGGCGGGGCTCCGGGCCCGGAGGCGACCCGCCGGGCGGGCGGCGGGGCCACAGTGCGCAGCCTTGCGGCGGGTCGGCGGCCATGGCGGGCTGCTGCTCCGTGCTGGGGGCCTTCCTGTTCGAGTACGACACGCCGCGCATCGTGCTCATCCGCAGCCGTAAAGTGGGGCTCATGAACCGGGCGGTGCAGCTGTTCATCCTGGCCTACGTCATCGGGTGAGCGCGGCCGGGGCGGCGACCCCGTGGGGTCCTGGGAGCCGGGGGACCCGGCGGCCCGGGAGCTGCCCCTTCCGGGTCCCCGCTGTGCACCTGCTCATCCTGGCCTAGGTCATCGGGTGAGCCCGGCGGGCGCCCTCCAGGTGGGGTCCGGAAGGCAGCGACCCGAGGCCGGAGACACACCCCTCCGGGGACCCCAGCCACCGGGGGATGGGCGCCGTGCCAGACTCTGAGGCAGAAGACTGATTGGATGTTGTGTTTTAGGGACAAATCCTGGCTAGAGCTTCATCCTCGCCTTTCCTGCTTCCTGTCATTCTGACTGGCTCCGTGATGTCCTTTGGCTCCGGGAAGGAGGGGGAGCGCGTTGCCTAAATTTCTCAATCTTTGCCACTTCCCATTCTGATGATCTGCTAACAGAAACCGTGGTTTGGGATTACACTTGGTTCCTTTTGGGTCTGTGGTTTCCCGTCCTGTCCTTTAACACCATGTGGTAATCCAAGATAGTAGAGGTCACACTTCCAGTTTGCTTCCTTCGTCTTATGGGGTCGTTGGTATAGGTACCTGCCTGCCTTAGCCTCATCACTCCCCATGCTGTCCTCTTTGCATAGATATGCCCAGTCACCACCATTCCTCACAAAGTGTTTAATTGTAATTGAATGCACCCCCTTACAATCTAATAAAACTGGAGAGAGGAGGCGGGAATTAATTTACCAACTGGGCCTGCTTTCAAAGGCCACCTGGGATGTTATGGTTGCATAGCTGCTGATCTAACAGATGTTATCTGCTTTGTCATTTCTTTACTTAAAAGGCCTAATGCAGCAGTCCCCAAACTACACAAACAGCCATTTGGGAATCTTTAAAAAAAATACGAATTGCTGGCTACCAACCCCAGACTTTCTGGTTCCATTGCTCTAGAGTAAGACCAGCTCCGTAGGTAATTCTGGTGTGCAGCAAAGTTTGGGAACTAGTGTTTCTCAAACCTACCTGATCATGAAAGACTCACCCTGAGGAATTGTTTAAAGTAACCTGGGGTGGGGCTTGGAATCTCTTAATACTGCCCAGGGAATTCACATGATCAGACAGGTTCTGCCTCTTAACATCTATCAGCCCTGCAGCAGTAGGTACTGACAGTACTCAATAAAATGGCTTTCAGGGTATGGACTCCACACCAGAACCACCTAGCCCCGTGGTCGGCAAACTGCGGCTCTCGAGCCACATGCAGCTCTTTGGCCCCTTAAGTGTGGCTCTTCCTAAGCCTTAGGAGTGCCCTAATTAAGTTAATAACAATGTACCTACCTACATAGTTTAAGTTTAAAAAATTTGGTTCTCAAAAGAAATCTCAATCGTTGTACTGTTGATATTTGGCTCTTGACTAATGAGTTTGCCGACCACTGACCTAGCCCATCCCCAGGTTTGGACTCAAGCGAGTCTCTTTAAGTTCCACCACAAACTCAGTCATTGTGATGCAGTCATTGTGATGCACCCTTGCATTTTGAGACCCAATACAGCTGGCTTCTTGAACTGAGTTGCTGGGTTGGATGTGAAGCATTTGGAATCGAGCTCTCATGCAGCTTTTTCCTCTTAGCTCTTGAAGCTCATGGGAAGATCGGCTTACATCTACCTTAGGGATCTGTGAAGTCCTAGACTGCAGATAATATAGTAGCCTTCCCCCCTTATCCGCAATTTCCCTTTCCACAGTTTTAGTTACCAAAGTCTGAAACTATTATATGGGAAATTCCAGAAAAAAAACAGTTCATAAGTTTTAAAATGCACACCATTCTGAGTCGCATGATGAAATTTCAAGGTGTCCTGCTCCATCCCACTGGAGACATGTTCATCTCTTTGTCCAGCCTCTCCATGCTGTGTACAGTCCCTTCCTGTTAATCACTTAGTAGCCATCTCAGTTGCCAGGTCAGTTATCAGAGAGTGACCACCTTCATATAACTCTGATCACAGTATATTGTTATAATTGTTCTATTTTATTACTAGAGGCCCGGTGCACAAAATTTGTGCACTGTGGGGGGTGTTCCTCAGCCCAGACTGCACCCTCTCCAATTTGGGATCCCTCTCATAACTGGGATTGCTGGTTCCCAGCCACTTGCCTGCCTGCCTGATTGCTCCTAACTGTTTCTGCCTACCAGCCTGATCACCCCCTAACCACTCCTCTGCCAGCCTGATCAACGCCAAACTGCTCCCTTGCTGGCCCGATCATCCCCAACTGCCCTACCCTGCCGGCCCAGTTGCCTCCAACTCCCCTCCCCTGCCGGCCCAGTCACCCCCAACTGCCCTCCCCTGCAGGCCTGGTCACCCCTAACTGCCCTCCCCTGCTGGCCTGATCACCCACAACTACCCTCCCTTGCCGGCCATCGTGTGGCTGTGGGTGCCACCATCTTTGAGGGCGTGCAATCAGCATGTCCCCTCCTTATTGGCTGTGGGAGCTGCCATCTTTGAGGGCGGGGCAGTCAATTAGCATATTCCCTCCTTATTGGTTGTGGGCGCTACCATCTTTGCGATGATGTGAGGGTCAATTAGCATATTCCCTCTTTATTAGATAGCATTAGTTATTGTTAATTTCTTACTGGATCTAATTTATGTTAGATTTTATCATTGGTATGTGTGTATAGGGAAAAGCTCTGTATAGGAAACTATCCCCCCATTTCAGGCATCCCCTAGGGCTCTTGGACTGCATTCCCAGTAGATAAGGGGGAATACTGTATCTGTACCTGCACTATAGGATAGGGTAGGCTCTAGTCTCATGTGGCTCTTGAGCACTTAAAATCTTCCTACTCCAAATTAAGATGTGCTATCACTGTAAAATACACCAGATTTTGAAGACATAATACAAACAAAAGGCACAGTAAAATATCACACTAATACTACATCCTATATTGATAACATGTTAAAATATATTGGTTTCATTAAAATTAATTTTATCTCTTTCATTTTAACATGGTTACTAGAATTTTTTAAATTACATATGTGGCTCATGCTATATTTCTTTTGGGCAGCACAGTTTCTTAAGATTTTTTTGAAGTATTGTTTACCTTGATTATGAGGATTTTTTTAAAATATATTTTATTGATTTTTTACAGAGAGGAAGGGAGAGAGATAGAGAGCCAGAAACACTGATGAGAGAGAAACATTGATCAGCTGCCTCCCACACATCTCCCACTGGGGATGTGCCCGCAACCCAGGTACATGCCCTTAACCGGAATCGAACCTGGGACCCTTCAGTCCGCAGGACGATGCTCCATCCACTGAGCCAAACCGGTTTCAGCATGAGGATTTTTTAAAGCAATAAATGCTTTGCTTTTATCCATCTTGCCATGATCAAAACTGACTCAGGATCTAAATTAAACACTTTTTAAAAAAACAACAACAACAACACTCATCTCTTAACTTCCTGCCAATTCATCTTACTAAAATTGTGGTCTTTTCCCCCCTAGTGACCCATAGCAACCCATCTTAAAAAAGAGACTGAACACGCCTTTATCAATTACCCAGTTCTGTCATCAGTCACATGATGAAGAGACAGTTAAATCACATACTGCTGTGAAATTGCGTGTCTCTTTAGCAATTCATTGTACAGATGGTGAGATTATAGTGACCTCCCGGCCCTAGGCTTCAGTGTATCCGACTAGAGTTAAATGGAAGCTTATATTGCAGTTGAATTCCTAGAAACCCTGAAGAAGAGGGCTTGTAAGGGGAAACGCTCGTCTTTAGATGGGAAATGAATTTGGAGACTGCTCAGATCAGACAAACCCATAAATAAGTAACTAAAACCAGTGAAGGTCCAGCATCTAGAGCTTATAAGGAGGAGAGAGGGATGCTAGCATTTCTTGATTCCAGAAAAAAAAAACACACCATAATATTCACTGGTAAGGGTTTAACAATAGCTCTAATTTGTAGTATTGCCCAGTTTCTGTGGTGTAGATACTCCCATCGTGGCAATTTCATCCTATCGATGGTGACTCCCAAACATTGTTCTAAGCATTTGACATGCATTAACTTCTAAGACCTCACAACAACAATCCTGGGAAAACCTGTTATCATTCTCATCTTATAGATGGAAAAACTGAGGCACAGAGAAGTTAAGCTACTTGGTACAAGGTATGCCTTAGCGAGTGATAGAGCTGAGATATGAACTGGAGACCAGCTAGCTTCCATCTGTTTTCCAGTGCCCTAACCATTAAGTGCTGATGCCTTTCCATTTTTAATTATTCAGATTGACATTAATGTCCCCTCTTCTGAAGAAAGAAGCATTACCTGTGACTTGAATTCTTGGAGAAAAAATAAAAATTACTCAAAAAAGCTATTTGAAAGGTGTATCTTTTCTAGAAGGAATATAGCATAGAAGGCAAGAGAAGAGTCTTCAGAGGTAGAAGGCTTGATTATCCCACTCACTAGCTGTGTGACTTTGGGCAAATGACTTAACCTCTCTGTGTCTGTTTCCTTCTCTGTTAAATGGAGATCATAATGATACTTGCCTCACACAGTGGTCAGGATTAGTTAATACATATAAGGAGCTTAGATCAGTGCCTGGCACGTAAAAACACCCAAAACCGTAACTGTTATTACCATAATTTGTATTATCTCTTGGTGATTCTGCAGATCATAGTGCATTTGAAAGTGCTCAGCCCTAGCCGGTTTAGCTCAGTGGATAGACCGTCAGCCTGTGGACTGAAGAGTCCCAGGTTCCATTCCGGTCAAGGGCACATGCCCGGGTTTCAGGCTCGATCCCCAGTAGGGGGCGTGCAGGAGGCAGCCGATCAATGATTCTCTCTCATCTATGTTTCTATCTCTCTCTCCCTCTTTCTTCTTCTCTGAAATCAATAAAAAAAAATTTGTTTTAAAGTGCTCAAATGTCTAATAAGAAAGACAGCATTAACTGATCGTTTTCTCTCTGCTGATCACTGTGCTAAGTGCTTTACCCGCATCATCTTATTAATTTCCCACAAATCACCTGTGGTTTAGGTGCTACTATGCCTATTTTGCAGAAGCAGAAATGGAGGGCACCCCTCTCCACACCCTCACAAAGTTAAGTGGCTTTTGCAAAGCCACATAATTAGTGAACGTGGTTCTCCCAGCTTCTGGCTAGCAGAGGCTCCCTGGCATCAGTGTCAGATTCACCAAGTCCTAATGGCTATTCAAGTGGCCCCTTTTATCTTACAGGTGGGTGTTTGTGTGGGAAAAGGGCTACCAGGAAGTGGACTCTGTGGTCAGCTCAGTTACTACCAAAGCCAAGGGCGTGGCTGTGACTAACACTTCTCAACTCGGATTCCGGATCTGGGATGTGGCCGATTACGTGATTCCAGCTCAGGTAAGCTGCCCATTACGACTGTCTAACACAAAAGCCTCTACTTCGCTCCCTGCTCTTTGCTGACCTTACACATTTGATTAATGATTGGCATGGCCGGTGTTCTAAGATCCCCAATGCCCAAACTGCTTGTTTTAGTCCAAGAAATAAATCAGTGCACACAGATCTCCTTTTGGCTTGCAATCTAAGAGGTAATATTCAATCAGCTCTGTTTCTTCAGCTCTAAACCGCAGCTGGCTTCAACACAGGGAACTTTCCATGTGGGCATCTCGGTCTGTCTCAAGCCCCAAAAGGTGAAAAGGCAAATGTTTTAAGTCCGGGGGGAAAATTCAGATAGAAGAATCACCTTTCCACATTCTGTATTTGCTTTATGGTTGTAAACCCACAAGCGAACCTTTTCAGAAAGCATTAAAAACTTTAGCAGCGCCCAGCTGGTGTGGCTCAGTGGTTGAGTGTCAACCTATGAACAAGGAGGTCACGGTTCCATTCCTGGTCAGGGCACATGCCCGGGTTGCCGGCTTGATCCCCAGCGTGGGGTGTGCAGGAGGCAGCCGATCAATGATTCTCTTTCATCATTGATGTTTCTATTTCTCTCTCCCTCTCCCTTCCTCTCTGAAATTAGTAAAAAATATATTTTTAAAAAAACTTTAACAACAACCAGAGATGAAAAGCCAAACAGAAGGAAACAGACATCCCCACATAGGGCTCCATCCGGAATAAAGGGAAAGGAAGAAAGTATTTGACACAGCGTCTTAGTCTCTAGTCTGTGAACCCACAAAGCTCCAAGTTAAATATTGACTCTCTCCAGCCCTGGTAATGGCCATGCACCACACAGCCAAACCCCAACGCAGCCCTCCAGATGGCTTATGGGCTGGGGTGACCAGAGTGGTAAATGCAGATAAGCTATCAACTCTGGGCTCAGAGCATGGCAAGGACTTCAGAAACTCTCCAAGTGTGTTCCTTCCCCTGCTGCCTTCTCAATGGGAGGGTCTTACAGGGGATTCTCAGCTGCTGGAGCTGGTCCTGTTGGCGCGCACCTGTCTCAACAGAGAGACGTCTGCTTCCTATCAAGTCATGGCCCCGTCCTGGCAGTGTCATTCAGCCTGTTTATTGGAACCAAGGAAGGATACGGCCCCTGCTTCTGCCCCTCAGTGGAAAGGAACACGCAGCCAGGCGGCCTCCCGTCTCAGACCTGGGGGCTAAGTGGGCCCACGGGGCTCCTCGTGAGCTTCCACGGCATCCTTGTGCTTCTCCGAAGTTGAAACACAAACAGTTGTTTGCATGGCGCTTGCTTGGCTCATTTCCAGACTGAAACTTCCCTAAACTTAGATGAGAGATAGGAACCAAAAAGTAAACCACGTGGAATTGTTCACATCTAACCCGGGAGAGGCGGAGGGGCGGCCTTCTGTCTCCACCGAGAGTTTACAGAGGGCACACCTGGGAACCCGACAGGTGCCAGGACAGACTCGGGCTCCCCGCACACCTGTGCCCCCTCCCGTGGCTGTTTCCCTGCTCCCAACATGGTTTGTTCCAGGCCTTTCTCTCAAAGATGCCAGCTATTACAGAGCTCCCACCACCTGTCAGACCTGGGGGTGGAGATGCCTACAGACTCCTGGGTACTTGAATTACTCTGATCCCCGAGATGGCTCCAGCGCCCACTCTGCCCTTCTCCGGGGTTTGAGCTGCTGAAAGCTGCCCAGTGACGGGGAGGCCCAAGCAGAATCTGTGGGGTCTTTGTCTTTACTCCTTATACTAGGACAGTGATGGCGAACCTTTTGAGCTTGGCGTGTCAGCATTTTGAAAAACCCTAACTTAACTCTGGTGCCGTGTCACATATAGAAATTTTTTGATATTTGCAACCATAGTAAAACAAAGACTTATATTTTTGATATTTATTTTATATATTTAAATGCCATTTAACAAAGAAAAATCAACCAAAAAAATGAGTTTGCGTGTCACCTCTGACACACGTGTCATAGGTTCGCAATCACTGTACTAGGAGGTCATTATTAGCAATTCTTCAGTCTCATCCCCAACAAACTGCTCTCGAATTTCTTAGAAACTCTAATACATGAATCATTTGGCACCACCACAGTTATGAGGAGAAAACAGAGCCATCTGAAAGGGAGAAGGTCGCTGGCCGACCCTGCCTGAGTCTCCTCTGGCGATTTGTTTGTTTGTTTTAATTCCGGTTAGGAAAGAAAACCAGCCAAATTCGAGACCTTTCAATGTTTGTTTGGTGGTTTTATTTGTCCCCCGAGATCATCCGGTTGGCAGAGGATGTTTGGGGCATTTGTTGGCTCTTTTCCCTCCAGTAGTCGAGCTTATTAAGGGACCATTTTAGGTTATAGACTTTTTAAAAAAAATTGAGGTGAAATTCACATGTCACAGCATTAAGCATTTCAAAATGAAAAATTCAGTGGCATGTGGCACATTCATGATGCTGTGCAACCATCACCTCAATCTACCTCCAGACCATTCTCGTCACCTTCCAAGGAAACCCCATACTCATTAAGCAGCCACTCTAGTTCACCCTTCCCCTCACCCCGCAGCAAGAGCCAGTCTGCTCCCTGTCTCTACATTTCACAGCAATGGGATCCTACAGTATGTGTAGACTTGTGTATCTGGCTTCTCTCTCTCAGCATCATGTTCTCAAGGTTCATCCAGTTGTAGCAGGTGTCAGTGCGCCCTTCCTTTTCATGGCTGAATAGTATTCCAATTATAGGCATAGACCACCATTGTGTATCCATTCATCTGTTGGTGGACACTGGGGTTGTTCCCACCTCTGGGTCATTGTGAATAATGCTGCTGTGAACATGAGTGCACAAGTATTTGCTAGAGTCCCTGTTTTTCGTTTGGCTATAAACTCTCAGAGGGGAGAATGGGAGACCATAAGATCAGTTTTTAAAATTGTTTTCTGCTTGCCATGTGCAAGAAGTGAAAGATACTGTCTGTTTGTTTGGTTTTTATGTATTGATTTTAGAGAAAGAGAGGAAGGCGGGGTGGGGGGGGAGAGACAGAGAAAGAGAGAAACATCCATTTGTTGTTGCACTTACTCATTCATTGGTTGATTCTTGTGTGTGCCCTGACCAGGTATTGAATCCACAACCTTGGTGTATAGGGATGAGGCTCTAATGAACTGAGCTACCCGGCCAGGGTCGTACTGTCCTGTTAAATGAACGTCTGGCTGTGTGGCTCTGCTTGGCTCCTCTGAAGGTGACATGGCAGGGCTCTCCCTTCTGTCCCCGCTGTAGGAGGAAAGCTCCCTCTTCATCATGACCAACATCATTGTCACCATGAACCAGACCCAAGGCTTCTGCCCTGAGGTAGGCAGCTTCTTGGAAAAAAGCTCGGGCCTCGTGCCGCCCCACCAACCCGGACCCGCTGTGTGCGGGGCTGGCCATGTGGAACCTGTTTTCACTCTTCCTTCTTCTTTCAGCTTCCAGATAAGAAAAGTGTGTGTAAGTCAGACTCCAACTGTCCTGCTGGCTCTACCGACACCCACAGCAGTGGTATGAACGTGAGACTGCAACCCCTCAGTAGACACTCAACCCGGGGACGCCAGCCCCCGACCACATCACCTCCCCTGAGGGGCTCCCTTGCTAGAGGAATCTCAGGATGGAGAAATCCTCCACGTGCCCCCATGCCTTCACATGATCCTGGGGGAGGCTCTCCACAGTCACCTCTGCCATCGGCGCCCAAGAAGCCATCCCAGATCTTGCCCTGTGCTGTGGCTTGGCATCGCCCCAGCCCTGCAGTTGGCAAAGCAGAGATGTGGCGAGGACTCAGGCAACCATGTTCCTCCGCTTCCAATTTTGGGGCACTGTGTAAACCCCAGAATTGGCACAGCTCAGGACTGATCGCTTAGGGTGCCACGGTAGGGCTGCCACCCTCTACTTCACCGAAGTAGAGAACGGGAGACCACCTGTGGACTGGGTCCCCCTCATCCCTGTAGGAGTTGCAACAGGAAGATGCGTGCCCTACAACGGGACTCTGAAGACGTGTGAGGTGGCAGCCTGGTGCCCAGTGGAGGATGACTCAAATGTGCCAAAGTGAGTCCTGGCCAAGGGGAGGGAGTGCCCTCAACTTTGGTTCTTAGGCCGAAGGGAAGGTGGCAGGCGAGTTAAGTGACACCTTTGATGTGTGGCTTTGTGCTCTTGGTGTGTGTGTGGAGTCAGGCTTCCCTGAGGTGGCGGTTCTCAACCACATGTCAGCGACCATGAGTGGTGAGATGGGTTGGCGAGATGGGTTGACAAGATGGGTCCCAGCATTTGTCACGATAAGAGAGCAGATGACTTATCTCTGTGTTAGGATTCTGTCAGTTTCAAATAACTGACTGGAAACAGTTCTGCCTTAAGTCCGTTTTTCACAAAGAACAAGCCCCGATCCTCACGTTGGGCAGCCAGTAATGTTAACTGCAACTTCACGTGACATTGTTTGACTTGCCATTGGCCTTGCGCCTGTCTTAGGGTTGGGAAGACTATCCTATATAATAAAAGGAAAATATGCAAATCGACCGAATGGCGGAATGACTGATCGCTATGACATGCACTGACCACCACGGGGCAGAGGCTCAACTCAGGAGCTGCCCCCTGGTGGTCAGTGCACTCCCACAGGGGGAGCACCACTCAGCCAGAAGCCCTGAGCCAGGCTCATGGCTGGTGAACGCAGCGGTGGTGGCCGGAGCCTCTTCCCCCGAGGGCTCCCAGACTGCAAGAGGGTGCAGGCTGGGCTGAGGGACCTCCCCACTCGAGTGCACAAATTTCATGCACTGGGCCTCTAGTTGTTTATATTTTCAAAGATTTCATCTGGATCCAGGAAGGCCTCCCCAACAGAGGGGTCAGCCTCCAGTGCCAGATTCTCCTGTGGAAATATATCAAAGTGGGTTCCCTGGGGGACAGATTCCACTCGTCTTGTCAGCCAGGAGCTGATGTGGCACTTGGGAGAAGCTGTGGGCCAGAGGACACCACCCTCTGGGTATTTTTGAGAGGTCAGGATCCAGCCTATAGGTGAACTGACCTTTGCTTTGACTTTTGTAAAACCAATCTATTGAGCATCTCCCCAAGGGCAGTGAGCCCTGCAGTGTCACAGCACAGCCGAGAGAATTCCAGTGAGCCCACTGGGCATGCCCCCCCTTAGCTGTTCCTCAGGCTCTCCAGTTCCTGCTGCCTTGGGCAGGAGGCCAGGAGAGGAAGAAAGCTGAGGGCTTGGCCTATAATCTCCCCTCTTGACCTAGTGTTTACACAGCGGAGTAGAAAGTGCTAGAAATGCCCCCCCTTTTACTTTGACAAAATGACATTGTAACACACGTGTGTATATGTTTTAAAAGTATTACATAGGGCCCTGGCTGGTGTGGCTCAGTTGGTTGGGCATCGTCCTGTGCACCAAAGGTCACGGTTTCGCTTCCTGGTCAGGGCACTTACCAAGGTTGTGAGTTCAATCCCTAGCTGGGGTGCGTGCAGGAGGCAACCAGTGGATGTTTCTCTCTCACACTGTGTTTCTCTCTCCCTCTCTCTTCTCTTCTCTTCTCTTCTCTTCTCTTCTCTTCTCTTCTCTTCTCTCTCTCTCTCCCTCTGTCTCAAAGAAATAGATAAATAAACAAATAAATAGATAAATAAATAAATACTGGTTAGTTTTTAAAAAATATTACATAGTGCCCTAGCCAGTTTTGCTCAGTGGATAGAGCATCAGCCTGCGGACCAGCTTTGATTCCTGTCAAGGGCACGTGCCCGGGTTTGGGGCTCAATCCCCAGTAGGGGGCGTGCAGGAGGCAGCTGATCAATGATTCTCTCATCATTGATGCTTCTATCTCTCTCTCCCTCTCCCTTCCTCTCTGAAATCAATTAAAAAAATATTACATAGCTTTGTGAGTGTACATATATGTATACTTACATTAACAATGTTATCATTAACCATATGTTATCATTTTTTTTCAGACCTGCCTTTTTAAAGGCTGCAGAAAACTTCACCCTTTTGGTTAAGAACAACATCTGGTATCCCAAATTTAACTTCACCAAGTAAGTGGTGGCCGGCTGTGTGAGTTCACCAGTGTCTTGGAGAGACCTCTTTTTTGAGATTTTCCTCGCTTCTATTTTCTGCCTCCTCCCAACTTTAGGAGAAACATCCTCCCCAACATCACCACTACCTACCTCAAGTCATGCATTTACAATGCCGCAACAGATCCGTTCTGCCCCATCTTCCGTCTTGGCAAAATAGTGGAGAATGCAGGGCACAGCTTCCAGGACATGGCTGTCGAGGTAGGCACGGGCCCTGGCTTTGCTGGCACAGTCTCCGGCACGTCTCATTTCAAAACAGGCTCTAAGGAAAGCGTGCTTTGTCTCTGCTCACAACCCACAGGGCGGCATCATGGGGATCCAGATCAAATGGGACTGCAACCTGGACAGAGCCGCCTCCTTCTGCCTGCCCAGGTACTCCTTCCGCCGCCTGGACACTCGAGACCTGGACCACAATGTGTCCCCCGGCTACAATTTCAGGTGGGCGTGGGCGTGGGCATGGGCTTGGGCTGATGGGTGGGCATGTGTGGCGGGTGATGGTGACTGGATCACTCCCCAGTGGGGGCATCCACACCCACCTAAGACCAGCACTCAGGCAGCCGCCATGGGCAGGTGGGAGCCGTGTGCCAGGAAGAATGCTCCGAGAGAGGCCGTGGGCCTGTGGCATCCTGGCCTGTGAGAGTCCTCCTTGCCCGCCCTTTCTTGTCTCAAGAAACATATTGAGCCTGGCTGGCGTGGCTCAGTGGTTGAGTGTTGACCTATGAACAAGGAAGTCATGGTTCGATTCCCAGTCAGGGCACATGCTCAGGTTGTGAGCTTGATCCCCAGTGTGGGCTGTGCAGGAGGCAGCCAATCAATGATTCTCTCTCATCGTTGATGTTTCTATCTCCTTCTCCCTCTCTCTTCCTCTTTAAAATCAATAAAAAATTAAAAAATAAAAGAAACATGTTGAGGCAACTTACAGAGCAGCTGAGGGAGGCTGGCTGCTCTACTCTCTCGAGCCAGCCTCAGCCGGGACCCTCACTCACTGCTTTCGAGGAAGGGCTGAGTTTGTGACCCTCTAGTCCAGAGGCCTCCGGGCTCTGACCCAGGAACTGATTTCTCAAATACAGAGTCTGCCCCGGCATCTCCAATGTGCACAGGATACAGGTTTCAGTCTCAGGATGGGCCTTTGCTGGTATTTCTCTGTTGAAAGTGCTGTGTATTCGTTTCCTAGGGTTGCCATAACAGATGACTACAAACCGTGGGGCTGGGAACAAAGGATTTTATCCTCTCACAGTTCTGGAGGGCAGAAGCCCCACATCCTGGTGTCAGCAAGGCCAGGCTCCTTTCTTGCCTCTTCCAGCTTCCGGTGGCTCCCGACAATCCTTGGTGTCCCTTGGCTGGTAGACACGTCACTCCAGTCTCTGCCTTCTGCCCTCTGGGTCTCTGTCTGTGTGTCCCCTCCTCTTCTTAGAAAGACACCAGTCGTATTAGATTCAGGGCCTGCCTTAACTCAGTGTGTCCTCATCTTAGGGGCCAGGGTCCCGTTTGCCACTTTCCTGTAGCCACATACGTTTGCACCTGCCCTTTGTCGCATCTTGCACACAAGTAGCCACTATCAAAAACAGGCCTCAGGCCCTGGCTGGTTTGGTACAGTGGATAGAGCGTCGGCCTGTGGACTGAAGGGTCAAGGGCACATGCCCGAGTTGTGGGCTCGATCCCCAGTATGGGGCGTGCAGGAGGCAGCTGATCAATGATTCTCTCTCATCATTGATGTTTCTCTCTCTCTCCCCATCTCCCTTCCTCTCTGAAATTAAAAAAAAAAAAAGGTCCCAGGAGGGGCCACCTGAGTAGGTCAGTGGTGCTTTTTGTGTTGCATTTGTCTCCCTCTAGTGGTGACATGGGTAATCAAATGCACATGTGATCTGCAGTCCTTTTGAACCATCTGGCTCACGGATAGAAAGGCAGATGTTTGAATCTTTTCCTAAGCAAGGAGTTCGATCTGTGTTGCTCTGTCTCTACCCTCACACAGTTCTTGTAGAAACCACTGGGCTGGAACTCCAAAACAGAGAGAAGCCGATGGGACCCTCACAAGGATAGTCCTCCCCTGACTCCTGCCAGCATCAGGCCCTGCCCAAGTCCCAGGCCTGGGCCATGGCACGGGGACAGATCACGGGCCAAGAGTTTAGGTTCCGGGATTCCCTATATACAGCAAATGGTATCACGTCTCAGTGGTTCTCCCTCAGCCATTTCCCTGTGTGTGTGTGTGTGTGTGTGTGTGTGTGTGTGTGTGTTAAGGCTTTGAGACAGTTCACATACCACACAGTTCACCCATTTGAAGTATAGAATTCTGTTTTCAGTACATTCACCGAGTTGTGCACCTACCACCACAGTCAGTTTTAGAACATTTCCATCACCCGTACCCTTTAGCTTTCACCTCTCTGTCCCCCTCACCCCAGCCCCTGGCAACCTCTCATCTACTTTCTGTTTCTGCATTTGTCTGTTCTGGACTGTCATATGAATGGAGTCATACAGCATGTGGCCTTCTGTGTCTGGTTTCTTTCACTCAGCATCATGTTTCTTTAGCGATTTATCCATGCTGTAGCATTTATTAGTACTTCATCTCTTTTTATAGCCAAATGACATTCCATTGTGTGGATATACCACATTTATCCATTCATCCGCTGATGGAGCAATGGTTCTTTAAAAAAAAAAAAAAAAGTCCAGTGCTGATGCTGTGAGTGACCAGCTTCACAGTCTTGGAGAATGCTGATGGCCGGCGACATCCCTTAGTGGCCAGGGTCTCCTTGAGAGGCAGGTGGCCCTGCTGCCAGGAGGGAAGGACATTCAGAGCTAGAGGTTCCGGTTGAAGACATAGGAGGCGGCCGTGTTAGGAGAGTGGGAAGCTTTGTCACCAAGCCAGTCCTCCTGCTGTGTGGCCCACCCACACAGGAGCCGGGAGAGGCCCCGAGGTGCTCAGGTGTCTTCTGTTCAGCAGGCAGAGCCAACCTTTGGCCAGTGCCAATGCTGCAAGGCCTCAGGGAGGGGGCGGGGAGGATTCCGCTGTAACATCACTGGCCCAGGACCCAGAGGCCAGATCCGGCCACGGTTTCCCACTGCTGTGCCTTCCCCTCACCTGTTTCCTTCCCCAGGTTTGCCAAGTACTACAACGACCTCACTGGCACGGAGCACCGCACACTCATCAAGGCCTACGGCATCCGCTTCGACATCATCGTGTTCGGAAAGGTAGCCTGGCTGCCAGCCCCTCACCCAGACCCTGCTCGTCCCTCTTCTGGGTGGGCCAGGGGCAGTGTCCTCTCCCCACTCTTTACCTGCCCTTTACCCACCCCTATCGCAACTCCCCCCCCCTCCCCCGTCCTTTGCAGGCTGGGAAATTTGACATCATCCCAACCATGATCAACATTGGCTCCGGCTTGGCGCTCTTCGGGGTGGTGAGTGACTTAGACTCTGTTCACCCCTGGACTGGGGCCCTCTGCAGTAGTTAGCACAGCAGGCAAGCCCCTCGGCTCAGCCTGGCCTTCCTTTCCACCCTCTGGGCTTCTTTCCCGCCCCCCACCTCACCCCACCCCACTTCCCTTCCGGAGGACTGCACCCCTTCAGGCACTGGTCGTCACAACATGGTGAGTAGATCCTTTTCCTTG